CGGGAGTAATTGGCGCAAACAGAAACACAGACAAGAGCTTCAGTCTGACAATCTATGCGGACGATACGAGCATCTGGGGACACAGTGTGGAGAAAACGGTCAGAGCTGTGGAGATCTTCGAGGAGGTGGGAGCAAGGTACAGCATGATCGTGAATAAGAGCAAAACCGAAGTGCTTACGAGGGAAAAGCTGACAACTGAAGATAGGCGGGCGCTAAATGAGAGACTTGGCAATGTGCAGTACGCTTCAGGGGGGGCGGACCTCATAAAAAGAAATGGGAAGCTGGTTGGTGATGTCATAAATATATATGGGGCGACCCAACCGGAGGTCTCCGAGCGGCTGAATAAGGCGAGAAAAATAGGGCGGGCGATTGGCCCACTTTTGAGAGATGAGGACATAGATCGGATAGATCGCAAGATGTTAGTAGAGGCACTGGTAGACACGGTGCTGCTCTATGGTTTGGACACGTCGAAGCTGTCTGGCCATGACATAGAGCAGATGCAGCAGCTCCAGGCCAAGCTGTTGCGTATGGTGGCAGCGCCAGGAGACGAAAGGCGCATAGGCGAGGCCTGGGCAAAGAGGAAGAAGGAGCTAGGGAAAGACCTAAGCAAAGAGCGAATGGCCGAGGCCTATAGGCAGGTGGAGGAGGGCATACGAATGAAACAGGAGGAGGTGGACAGACGTGTCCCGACGCCGACGGTGCGAAGCAAGTGGGAGCGCTTGCGGCTTCTCGCGGTGGTCGACCGCTACAGGGAGGAGAAGTGGGGGAGATGCCTAGGCAGCGGCGTAGAGTTGAAGGCAAACAGGGGGCCAAATGTCATGCCCGCGAGGAGGGTAAAACTGAAGGAGAGAGACAACACGGAGGAACAGATATGGGAGAAGTTCAGGCAGAGAGTGACGGCGAACCTTCGTGGGAGCGACCCGGGGGGTACGAAGGGAATGGAGGAACTACAGAGGATTCAGGAAATCCTCGGGGACGAGGAGAAGCTCGACAAGGAGCCGGGGGCTAAAACCTGGGTGAAGAGGTTGAAGACAAGAAATGTGGAAGAAATGTTGTTCAGGTGCCCGCAGTCGATACATTGGAAGGAGCTCTGGAATGCGGCGACGAGGGTGCTGCATGACACCAGGAGAGGGGAGAAGGAGGCACGGGACTGGACAATGTGCGAACACTGTGGCAGAGAAGGCCGCAAGGGGCCGCGGGGACTTGTAGGGCACTGGGTTAAGACAGTGAAAAGCAAGAAAGAAGGAGACCCAGAGGTGTGTGGGGAAAAGGCAGCGCGAAAGAAGCTAGAGGAGTGGAAGGACATGAAGAGGGGCGAAGGGGGTGAGCCAGGGGAAGGAGAAGAAGGAAGGGTGAGCAACGAGATGCGCAAGATGTTTCGGGAGTTGTACCTCGAGGGAACAGGGGCCACGGCCGAGGAGATCGAGACCGCTGTGGCGGAGGCAATAGAAGTGGACGCTTGGCCATGGCAGGGGGCTGGAATCTATGCGCATGACCGAGGGGAGGCGGAGGAGGTGAGGGACCTCGCCAGAGATTCCATCTTCTGCATGGAGGTGCAGGAGGAGGAGGAGGGAGAGCGTTGCGAGGTGCCCTGCCTCTGGCAGGTGAAGAGCTGCAGGGGCAGCGTGTCAGATATTAGAAGGTGTGGGATGTGTCAGATCAGTTACGGCATGAGTGAGGCGCATGCCAATTGGTTGAAAGGTGCGAAAAGGATCAGGAAGGACGAGAAGCGGTGGGAGGTTTTCCACGGAGTCAAGCGGCTAAGGTGGGACCCGATCGCGAAGGTTCACGTGTGTCCCTTTAAGGTGAAGGCATGCCGCTGGCCGGAGGAGCCAGGGGCCCAATGGTGTGAAGGGTGCAAAAAAATAGAGGGTGGGGAACTATGGGCAGAGCACAAACGTGCCAAAGAGGAAGAAGAGGAGAAAAGAAGAGAAAAAGGGAGAAAACAGGAGGAAGAGAAGATGGAGCGGAAACGAAAAAGAGACGAAAAAGACGAAGAGGAAGAGGGGCGCAAACTTGAGCAGAAGAGGAGAAAGAGGGGCAAACAGGTGGGGCAGGTGCAGGCGAAAACAAGGAAGCGAGAAAGGGAAGGGAGCGAGGAAAAGAGCCAGGAGGGAGAAAAGAAGAAGAGGAGGCGGGGCGGATCGGTCAGCGAAGGGGCTGAGAAAAACAAGAAGAGGAAAAGAGGGAAGAGCATGGAAGAAGATGCGGAGGGAGTAAAGCGGAGAAGGAGAGGGGCAGCCCCGGGTGAAGAAGGAGACGGGGCCAGAAGGGGGACAAGTGCAGAGCGTAAGGGCCAACCGGGTGAGGACGGGGAAGGAGGTGGAGAAACGCAGGGAGGAGAAAAAGGGAAGAGGTTGCCAACAGCGAAAAGGGGCCGGCAACAGAAATGCAAAGTGGCCCACAGTGAAAAGGGCACAAGGCGCAAAGTGTTGGGACGACCTGACCCGGAGAGTGGGGGCAGGGTTGAAGGAAAGGGAAAGAAAGGGGCAGGCCAGGAGAAGGCGAAAGAAACCCGCAAGAGAGAGCGGGGGGAAGGTGTGCAGGCTGCAAGTGCAAGAGCAGGCAAGCGCGCAGGCGCGGAGCCGAAATGCCGAGGAGTGAAAAAGGGGGCCAAAGGGGGTAGACCCATGGCCAAGGGCAGCCAAGTAGAGGGGGGCAAGCCCAGCCAAAGAAAGCAAAGGGCTGGACGAAATGAGGCCAGAAGGGCCGAAATGAAGGGGCCGCTTAAGGGGAGGCCCCCTGATGGGGAAGGTTGAGAAGGCGGGCGCCAGAGGCAGGCGCCGCACTTTCCTGGGGTCCCCCGGAGGGTTGGCGGATGGAGTTCCGCGCCCTCTTTGCGGGGTCGAGTTGGGGTCTTTTAATCTTTTGAAGAGGGGCACCCTCTTGAGGATTATGGAGACAAGGGATAGATGGAATCCCGCCCCACCCGATCGGTGGGTACATCAAGTCAAGTCAAGTCAAGTCAAGTCAAGAGGCGCGAAGCCCTGACCTGGCGCAACTCTGAGGCGGGAAGCCCTGACATACCGAAACTCTGAGGCGCTAAACCCTGACACTGCGCCACTCTGAGGCGGGAAGCAAACCCTGAGATGCCAAACCCTGAGATGCCAAACCCTGAGATGCCAAACCCTGAGATGCCAAACCCTGAGATGCCAAACCCTGAGATGCCAAGCCGGGAGATGCCAAACCCTGAGATGCCAAGCCCTGAGATGCCAAACCCTGAGATGCCAAGCCCTGAGATGCCAAACCCAGAGATGCCAAGCCCTGAGATGCCAAACCCTGAGATGCCAAGCCTTGAGATGCCAAACCCTGAGATGCCAAGCCTTGAGATGCCAAGCCCTGAGATGCCAAGCCTTGAGATGCCAAACCCTGAGATGCCAAGCCTTGAGATGCCAAGCCTTGAGATGCCAAACCCTGAGATGCCAAACCCGGAGATGCCAAACCCTGAGATGCCAAAGCCTGAGTAGATGCCAAACCCTGAGATGCCAAACCCTGAGATGCCAAGCCCTGAGATGCCAAACCCTGAGACGCCAAACCCTGAGATGCCAAACTCTGAGATGCCAAACCCTGAGATGCCAAGCCCTGAGATGCCAAACCCTGAGATGCCGAACTCTGACGCCGTTTGTGCCTGCAAAACCCTGAGAACTGGATCCTGACTTTTGTGCCCCTTTTTGCAAACCCTGAGATGCCAAACCCTGACCCGACCGCGGCCGCGTTAGAGCTCGCTAACGTCTTCGCGACTCGGTGACCCAGTGCCCCACGCTGAAACAGTGCCTCACGACCTGCCAAAATCCTGATGCGGGAAACCCTGGCTTGCCGAAACTCTGAGGCGGGAAACTCTGAGGCGCGGAAACCCTGACATTGCGCCACTCTCAGGTGGGAAGCAAGCTGTGAGATGTGAAGCCCTGAGATGCCAAGCCCTGAGATGCCAAACCCTGAGATGCCAAACCCTGATATGCCAAACCCTGAGATGCCAAACCCTGAGATGCCAAACCCTGAGACGCCAAACCCTGCGACGCCAAACCCTGAGATGCCAAACCCTGAGATGCCAAGCAACCCCTGAGATGCCAAACCCTGAGATGGGAAACCCTGAGATGCGAAGCCTTGAGATGCCAAACCCTGAGATGCCAAAGCAAACCCAGAAAAACCCTGAGAAGCCAAACCCTGAGATGCCAAATCCTGACATGCCAAAGGGGCTCGCGAGCAGCCCCCGGCCCGAGAGCCTCCGCGGGCTTCTTCCCCGGTCTTGACGTTAGACGGCCCTGACGCGGCACGCGGCCGCGTTAGAGCTCGCTAACGTCTTCGCGACTCGGTGGCACAGTGCCTCACGCTGAAACAGTGCCTCACGACCCGCCAAAATCCTGATGCGGGTCACCCTGGCTTGCCGAAACTCCGAGGCGGGAAACTCTGAGGCGCGGCAACCCTGACATTGCGCCACTCTGAGGGGGGAAGGCAGCCCTGAGATGCCAAACCCTGAGATGCCAAACTCTGAGATGCGAAGCCCTGAGATACGAAGCCCTGAGATGCCAAACCCCGAGATGCCCAACCCTGAGATGCCCAACCCTGAGATGCCAAACCCTGAGAGGCCAAACCCTGAGAGGCCTGCGAAACCCTGAGACGCCAAATTCTGAGATGCCAAACCCTGAGCTGCCAAACCCTGAGATGCCAAACCCTGCGATGGCAAACCCTGAGATGCCAAACCCTGAGGCCGTTTGTGCCTGCAAAACCCTGAGAACTGGATCCTGACTTTTGTGCCCATTTTTGCAAACCCTGAGATGCCAAACCCTGACCCGACCGCGATTCAGCCCTTCCTGGAAACCCTGGGATTCCCTGGCTTTCCCCTTAAAACTCTGAGAGTCCTGGTCCGTTGATTTGTGCCCCTTGTGGTTCACCTTGCTCGCCCTTAAAACCCTGAGGTCAGACCTCGATTTTTGTCGATCATTAATAAAGATAGAATATTTATAAATATTATATTATAAGAATGTCCATAAGGTAAAGGTTGAGGTTTAGGTCCTGCGACGCTCAAAGCACTAAGTAAGCAGGTTAGCTCTCACCTCCACACTCTCACTCTTGGGCTTATCCCATGCAGCAGTATATATTATAAGAATGCTGTCCTGCTTCTAGCACTCGTTGAGCAGCATTACTCTTACTGCTTGCCCTCCAGGACGTGGTCGATTTGTTTTCGCATCCCAGCAATGAATCGCGGCACATGAAAATGAATTGCCTCAGCAAGAACATCACCACGTTACTGTTCCTCTTGCTGGAACTCCTACAACTAGCTTGTAGTTCATCTTGCGTATCCAAGAACTTGGGTATTCGGGTCTATGACGACGCCCCTCTACGTCCGATCGCGCACACACAGAACCTTTTCGTCCACGAAACTTCTGGCGCAATTATCGCGAAAAGCCTGACAGTTGCAGACTTAGCGATCGCTGATGATTTTACTAAGGCTTTCGCAATTATTGGCGGTCAACTAGATTTACTTAGATTGTTCAAGTTCGCTCTGTTACCTCAAGTAGTGCATACTGTCAATTAGATTTACTTCGATCTCTCTTCATGTTCATACATACATATTATTTATTTTGATATATTTTTTATCTAGTTTAAGTATACATAGCACTTTCTTTACTCCAATCAAATCTTGTAGGACAACCCACTAACAACCACCATAGGGAACGAAGTCCAAAAATGACCTCGTGCCCCGTCTCTAGCTGTCTACACGACAGCTACCACTGAAGACTATTAACTTGGCTCTTGTGTTATATTTTTTTGTCCAAAGAAACTGAAAGATCTTGGTCTTCTTCGGTTCAAAACAATATTTTGATACATTTACTTTTTAGATCTGCTCCTTATTTCTTGATGAAGAACACTGCATAATGATCGGGCACTCTTCAGTTCCTCCTAGGCATGATGGAAATTCACTTGCTGCTGGGATCCATCTTCATCTTAGTGACTCCGCATCTTCTAATTCCTCACGTAGACGAAATGGCACCCAGAGAGGCGTCCACAGTGGGTTTGCTTTCAAGGACGTGCCTGAAAATTGGAAGACTAAAGCCAACGTGCACATGGTCACTGATGCAGCAAGCCTGAAACGGCAGAAGAGCAAAGATGTTATCGTGGACAGGGAGGAAGTGGATTTACTGACAGAAAATGGTGAAGATGTTGGTACAAGTACAACTGCTTCTGAAAGTCATTATCGACAAAAGCACCTTCCTCCGCTGCCTCCGTTAAGGCTACCGCTGAAGCATCCTCAGACCCATAAATGGCCTCTTTTTCAAGAAGAAAAGGGGCTCAAGGACGGGCTCAGGGATGCGACGCGGTAGCTCTTCTAACTCCGAATACAACGGCTGCATCAGTAAAAATGGATCCGAAGTTGCGGTTTGTCCCGGTAAAAAACCCGCTAGGCTACTACGAGCTGATATCCTATACTCCACCACCCGAAGAAGAAGCAGCTGAAAATGATTCGTATGGCGGATAACAATACAGATAGATAAATAGTGGAACTGTGAATAATGATGAAGCTGAGTGATATCGCGAGAAAAAACGTTATCATTATCGTTTTTTTGAATTTCTCAGAAAAGCATGACATGGAGCACTGCGATCCTGGGGCTTTTCGCCTTGCGATGGGCAAGCCGGCCCTCCCTCCACAAGGTGCCGCAGCAGACGCTGCGCTCCTCCTCCCATTGGCGCGGCCCTTCACTCATGGCCGCGGGGCTTCATGGTACCGCTAAGCTCAAAGGCCGCGGCCTCCGCTTACGCACGCCCATGGGGCAGTGGCGTGGCCTGGCCCTGCAAACTTATCCGCAAAAGTAGCACACCGCGGGAACCAAGCGCGGCGCACTCGGAAAGCAGCCCCGCTGGCAATCGTTGGGGCGATTCCTGGGGGCAAGCAATATGAAACGCCAAGCCGATCGAATGGAAGCCGCGACGCCACTTCGCTCAAGCTCCAAGGAGGTGAGGAGACGACCGAGAGCCGCAGACGCGCGAGCGGCTGAAGGGGTCAGTTGGAGGGGGTGTCTGAGGGGGGTCCTTGTTTTCAGGGACCCCATTTGATAAGACTTCTGGCGCCCGACAGATAGGCGATAAGGCTTCTGGCGCCCGACAGTCTTCGCCGAAGCCCAGAGACACACTCTAAATTTTCAGAACCTCGAGGGGCAAGCGGGTGACAGGTGGGCGCCTTTTCTGCTTGCTCGTTATCGCGTTTTTGGCGAGTGTTTGGAGGGGTCGGCGGAGGGGGGCGGCGGACCACCTCCGGCCCGGCTAGAGGACCGGAGCGGCCACAGCAGAAAGGAGGCGCCGAGGCGCTAGAGGTCGGAGGAGGTGGGGCGCCAGAGGTGGCGGAGCAGCCGCAAGCAGCAGGGCTGCAGGCCATCCCCTGACACTCGGGCCCCAGATTCGCGAGGGGACGAGGAAACAAGCTACACGCACGCGCGTCTGCCATTGCTGGAAGCGCCTCCCGGAGAGCGCAGCACCACCCAGCAGCCAGAGCAGGACAGCAGCGCGTGCGGCGCCGCTGTTTTGTTGTCCGAGTCATGGGAAGCGCAGCCCACCCACAGACGCGCCAAGAGGAAGCGGTGAACGCTGGCGCCCCTCCATTCTTATGCCCACGCGCACAGCGTCCCGCCAATGCCTGGGATTTGTTATCCCAATCTGAAAAAATCAAAAAAACGATAATGATAACACTTTTGCCTGCGATAGAGTGAAGATGAAGAGGTCTTGATGAAAATTAGTTCAAAGAGTTACTCTTTTGTCGGCTACTAGAACTAGAAGGAAAAGGGTGGATGAAAATGAATTTCGTAATCGTACTTCTGTTCAGGAGTTTTACAAGATAGCCACTCGTCATTTGGTACAGACACTGGTGGCGAACTTGTTCTCGCAATGATTGCCTCGTGCTCGTCTAGGTCTATAACATAGTTCAGACACAACCACCACAATCTCCACGACCTCTCAATCCACTCCCCTTCATCCAATCCCGCTCAAGAAGAGCCTGTTCATCGAGATTGGTGCGAACAGTCGAAACCTCCTGATGGATGAGAGCTACCACTGGCAACATAGTCGAGAAAGTTTACGCTCCTCGTACTAGGAAATACGCCGCCCTCCACCACGGTGGTGGCAGCACCAAAGAGGGAGTCATCTTCTAGAGGAAGAAGGAAGCAAGTAGACAAGAAAACACTGCTAGTACTCAAACCCAGATGATTGCTCACGCTTCTAGGAACGGGAAGATCTACTCGGCATAATTGTTATCCAGATGATTGCTTCTAGGATGAAGATCGACGCATTTTTTCCTCCTACCCCTCTAAAAAGTGCGTTCTTGGTTTCCTTCGAGCCTTTACTGGACAAATGGGCACTTTTGCTCTCCCTGCACCGTGGAGGACACGACTCTCAAGGGCCTGGGCGTGTACATGACCGAGCATTAGCATTTCCGTTGGCTGTGGGACCTTGTCGTGGGGATCATAGTCAAGAACAGTTCAATAAAGCCACTACTTTTACTTCATCTTCTACAAGAACATCTTCTTCTTTTAAGGGTTGAAGCATTTCATTTTTACGAGCTTTCTCTACTTCCTTGAGATTGCCACTAAAAAATGAAATGTTTCAACCTTTAACTCTTCCGTATTTGACTATGTGAGTTTCAACGTGATGGATTTAGATGGGCTGAGTTCAATGTTGCAACCGGCAGAAGTTCCCCGTCCAGACGACCAAGATGACCTCCACGGCTCCCCAAGAGAGCGCCTTCGCGAAGTAAAGGAAGAGCGTCGTGTACCGTGCGTGTCTCTCGAAAGGGTTTTGACACATTGGTTTCCCGAGTTCGACGAAGTATCAGTCTTGAAAGTCGATGCGCAAGGAGTCGACGTGGACGTAGTAAAAAGCGCAAGTAAAGAGACACTGCAGAAACGGGTGATTAAGACTTTTAGAATTTTCATTTTGTTGTTGTTGTTGTTTATCATCAAATGTCAGTTTGTGTCTGTGTTTATGTATCCTGAGCCCGAGCGGCTTCTTGATCTTAGAAGAAGTATCAAACGATTCACCCAGGTTGTCAGGATGATGACCAAAGGCAAAGCCTTCTCTAATATGAAGAGGATTGAACTCGAAGTCTTATGCGACAACAGGCCGATGATGTACGAGGGCAGTGGCAGCATAAGTTGCAGTAATGCAGTGGCGGAGTTCGCTGAACTTGGTTTTGTGCCGAAGGAGGAGAACATCTGCGCACGATTTTCTGGTTGTAAAGGAGACGAGATGCCTTTGGTATTGTTGAATACGAATCAGAATCCGATGAATCTAGATTTAAGAGGCTACCGCTGAAGCATCCTCAGCAACATCCTTGGCTACTTTTTTCAAGGGGAAAAAGGGCACAGGGATGGGCTCAAGGGTGCGACGTGGTGGCTCTAATGGGTGAGACAACTACAACTTCACTGCTAGTGGACAAAGGTGCTGATGGAGGAAAGTCTATGGGCAGTGTGAGCAGCACGACTACGAACAGGGATCACGATCATGAGCAACGTGATGATAGTCTGCGCGCAGATTTGCAACTCACGACAGGGAGGCATAGTAGAGACCCTAGTTCGCAAGATTCGTTTCTTATCAACATTGGCGTACCCAGAAATTTGAATTTTCCTGGTGCTGGAGCTGGTTCTTCTGGCCATCTTGCAATTGACACAGCGACGGTCGCCGCTGCGACAACCAAACATCAACAAACGCTAACTCTCGAACCTAATCTCCGAAGATATGCATTGGCGATGGGTGAGGATGTCACGGCGGATACCTACAATCAGCTGGGGGAGGCTGGACGAGGGAGTAAAAAATGGATCGTGCCTTTGGTTAAGGGTTGGAAGTTGGCCTATCATCTAAGAGCATCTCTATGGCTTCTTCAAGGGGGAAAGCCATAGATATGCGCGCTAGAGATGCCGACTCTCAACCTCTAATTTGGGGTTTTGTTCCGAAGCTAATCCTAATGCTCAAGCATGCATATCAGCAGATCACTTCTTTACTGGATTTCTTTCAACGTTTTTTGGTCTGTCAAGGAGGAAAGCGTCCTTATCGTTTACGGTGAGCATCGATTTCTTCCGGTTTTCGCATTTTCTAGGGGATATCTTTGCCGCTGCAAAAACTTTTCTTGAACAAGGTCAAGCTCACGAAGTGCGAGATGATGAGAAACAGAAGAGGCATAGTCTGCGACTAATCCTGACTCACGTCCCATGTGATCACGTAAGCGCAACACCTTTGACCGCGTGTGAAAGGATTCGTGCAGCGTTGAAGAAGCGCTTCAACATCGAGGAGAGTGCAGGAACATGGTCCGCTGAGACTCTTTCGATGCGAGAAGTCGAAAGTCTCAGCGGACCATGTTCTACGTCTACTAGTGCCGACATTGCTGCAGATGTTGAAAGCACTAGAAGTATTGTTAAGGCTCAGCTTTCAATGGTCGTTGGGGTTGGTCACTTAGATCGCAGACGAAGAGGCGACCCCTTCTTGAGAGAACAGGGGAAAACGAGGGGAAAGGGGAGAGCTTTGAAGGGGGTCCCTTCCGTTCCGAGTCAGTGGCCACTGAAGGCTGAGCTTTAATATTGGCACTCCTACTTCTGAAAAAAGGACGCGTGCGTGTCAGAGCAGCTACACCAATCTTGTTTTTGATTCTTTAGTACCCTCCTCTGGTGGACCACCCAATCATGTGGATAGAACAGACCTATAGAAGAAACCCAACTTCTAAGCAATTGAATGCACTACAAGCTGCTTGCCTTAGCTAAGGCTTGTTGCTTTCAATAGTGCATGGCAGAGAGCAATTGAAGATGTTCTCCCGATTTTGTTCTGAGAAGTGGTACCTCTACTAGTAGTCGTGTGAGTTGTGCTGGTGGGTGGTTTCCTCCTCATCTTTTTTAACCTTCTCCAGCATAATGGGATGGGCATAGACATAGTAGAGTGACAAAGAAAAATTCTTTCCATGGAGATTTGTTTCTGAGCGACAATACAATTATCCGCTGTACTAGTTGTAGCTAGTCACTCAGATTACAACCTTTGGAGAGAGAGAGAGAGAGAGATGAGAGTGCGAATTCTGAGCAAGCAAAAGCAAAACGATGGGATAGGGTTTTTCTAATTCTAGTTCTAGTTACCCTAATGTTGTTCTACTCACGACAAGCATTGCTTGCATTTCTTTGACATGTACTTTCACAACACGACAGGAGTCCGCAACGTCAGAAAATTATCGCATCATGAGAAATTCAACATTGTACTTACTCTGACATCACGGCCACTTGTATACGCACTCCAGTAAAAATGCCCGATCTTTTTCTTGTGTCGATACCATCCGAAATTGCATGAGGAGAAGTATTGATTTTTTTTCTGCTTCTGCAACAAAAGCAAAACAACAACACATTAACGAAGAAGTGGTCCATCTAGTTCTACCTATATTTATTTTTATTATAGTAGAATTCTATATAATTTCCTCAGACCTCTACAACGAACGTAATAGAACTTCTTAGAACCGCCAACTAGGAAATAAAAATGGAAGACTCCGATTCTGACGAAGCTGAAGACGTCGCACCGCAGGAAGACGGTCTACCAGCTCTTGAAGATCCTGACTTTGCTATGAAAAGAAAGAGTTTACTCACGCTCAAGAACAGATTTTTAGCTAGGATTTAAGTGAGAAAGTAGCAGCCCCAGCCAGCTAATTTTTTGAGCGTGAGTACACTTTTTCCTCTCATAATCACCCAATTTGTTTCATATCTAGGCTGCGCAGAAATAGTAAATGCAGGTGTTGCGGATAGTGGAGGGAAGGGAGGGGCTGATTATGATAGGTGGTTTGTCTTTGTGACAGAAGGATCATTTAATTACAAGTAGTCCTTGAAATCTGGTTTTTGTCGCGGAACAAGAAGGTACGTATCTATAGCGTATGCTGGAGTGTGCTTGTACTCAACACTATGAAACAAGTCGAGTGCATATTACTAGTTCGATATCAAACCTCTTCGTCCTCCTTGCGAATTGATTCGAATAATTCAACTTCCTGCTCCTCTTCGATCCTCTTCAACACGAGTACCCTATCGCTATCCCTAGTAACCAAACAATCCACTTTCATCTCCCGAATCTCCAATCGATGGAGCATTTAGGCCGTGTCCTCTTACGAGTGGTGCAAGAAGCCTATGTTGCGCCACTACCGCCAAACTGGTCAGAGTTTTCGGACCCAGAGGGAAGAATATACTTCTACAATTACGCCACAGAACAAAGCTCCTGGGCTCATCCATCGGATAAGACTTACAGGGAGTTGATACAGGTATAATTTTTTTTTGTGATAAATCTAGGGACTAGGACCTAGATATTTTTTGGATTTCTTTGCGGCATTATTTCCTAGTTTTTTCCAGCCTTGGTTCCTTCATCATGAATGATCATGATCTGTTTCCAATTCGGATTGTTCCGACCGTTTACTACTACGTTTGTCCACCACCTGTTCTAGAAGCACTATCTCTAACTATTAATCTCCTGTAAAACTATCTCTATCTCTAACTACTTAGTCACGACTCCTTCACCACCAGATAGTAAAGAAGGTGAAGAGCGTAGTTTCACCTCTGCCGCGTGAAGAAGTTTCGAGGATAATAGACGTCCATTTGCAAAGTGTGCACCAGCGAGCCATGGAAGCGATAGCGGGTTTTAGTGGCCCCTACGTAAGTGAGGATGGCGGCCACGAATACTACTACAACGAAATCACGAACGTCAGTACGTGGGAATCGCCAGTCGTCGAATGGGAGCATAATATTAGCACGAGGTACAACTCAAACTCTAATCCTTGGTATTAGACATTTACAACTCGTCTTCTACGGTGAATTCTTGGGCAAGGTCATGTCACGATGTCCTAGTTTTGATACTTCTTAAACCTCCATTACATTTACAACAATTGCTTCTCATCATCATCATCATCATCATCATCATCATCATCATCACCATGATCATCATCGTCATCAATCTACTAAACATTCTAGAGCAACTGAAAGCTCCGCTATAAAGGTATCACGTCCTTTACCGGTGTCTGCTCGAACCATATGATCGACTCGAAGAAGAGCAGGAGGCTGGGAAAGGAGCTTCCGCTAGTAGCTCATCTGTGTCTAGAGTTCCCCCGAGGCTACAACTATTAAGGCTGTACCTAATACATCTTTGGACGCATCCTTGAAACGTATGGAAGAGTATCCTACGGGAATACTCACCCATACTTTTCAAGGATGCACTTGCAAGATGAATTACGGACAGCTCTAAAACTACCATTGCACCTGGTGGGCGGCGGAGGTGATAGCGCAGCGCAACTGGACGTAGCGAGCCTTGGACTGAAGGGTATGGCAGAATCGGTGCTAGTCTTCTCCACTATTAGCAGAAAAACAGCTCAGCAGTTCCTGTATCTAGTTCTAGTACAACAGGAGCTCAACAGTAGTAGTTCCTGTATCTTGTATAACTTCTTCGCGATGTTTTTTAACGTCTCTTCATCTCCAAACACCCTCCCCAAGGACTCACATCCTCTAATGCTCGTGGCGGGCTCGCACCTCCGACTCCGTCGACTACTAGGAGTTATCACACGGCGAGGTCACAGGGGTCAGCGCGGACAGGCCGGAGAAGTGGCCGCGACTCTTCAGGCTCTTTCAACGACGGCGGAAACTTTAAGGCCACGGCTAAACCATTCCTATCATTTCAATCTTCGGACCAGCACCTTAAAAACGGACACAGAGACAGAGTGTGTCATCATGATACAACGATACATCGAAAGACGAAAAAGATTACAAAAATAAGCATGTTGTAGTTACTGTAGCTATACTAGAAGAATTATGGACATTCATCATGGAGTGACAATACTCACTAGCTCTAAAACCTCGACGCGGTCGGGGAAAAGTCCCAGTTGTAGTAAGCATAGGAAAGGACAACCAAGGCCACCAGATCCCGACGACGAGTCTGATGACGAGGAACCCTTCAACTTCACTTTCGGTTCAGGCGCAATAGTCAGTAAATCATAGCACTAGGACTAGAAGCTGAAAAGACTGTAGCACTACGATATGAAAGAAAAAAGTGCACTCACACTCAAAAAAGTGGCTACTTTCCTACTTAAATCCTAGCCAATTTCTTGAGTGTGAGTGCACTCTTTCGCTTCATATACGACTAGAAGGCAACTGATACTGAAAGACTGGCGCCACTCACAATAACATGCAGGCTAAAACTGTACATTTTCTTAGAATTACGAAGATGAACATAAAGTAAGATCAACATCGCTCAGAAGTAGTAAGTTGTCATTGTTGCTGCACTTCAACTTCTTGATGTTCCATGAGGAGTTCCATGTTCTTAAATTTACAGCATGTTGTTGTTAACTTCTTCGAGGTGGCTGTGTCCGAGAACTCCATGAGTTCATCAAGGACATACAGAGGTAGCTACACCTATTTTGATTTGTTACCGGGAAAAAAAATTCATCAAATTCATACGTCTATTCCTATCTATGACCATTCACTTGCAGTTTAATTGATCAAAATGTTTGCTCATTCACATCATCGTCAATGTCATTCTTGTGTAGTTTGTGCCGCTCCCTATAGAATTGTCATTTTTTTTGTCAACGTTATAATTGAGTCTGTACATCAACATCATTTTTCTTTGTTAGAAATCAACTGAATTTCTATTTCAATTTAAACCAGGTTTACAATGTCTTATGTCTTATGATGTGTGGTCATAGTCATGTCATCTTCTATTTGGAATCAATTATGTGCCGGGAACGATGAGAAGAACTTTGATTCTTCAATATGATTTGTAGTGAACAATTGTACTATGTGTGTTTGACCATCCAGATCATTGTCTGATTTAGCATTTTCCAGCAGCTCATTGCGGCAGGACGTGATAGGCGTATATAGCGCGGAGTTTTGGTTCCATGAGATGAAGGTGAAGGAACAAAAAACGATAACTCCCTTTGCGTTTTTTGCAACGAACCTCCATAATAGGCAGACGTCGATTGGCACGTTTGTTCAACATCACGGGCTCCTCAGAGGTGAATCCTCAAGAGCTATGCCCGCAAGGAAGAGAGTGTAGTTCTTTGAGGGGATGCTCCTGTAAAGTGGATATCAAAAAATAGATGTTCGAAAAAAAAAATTTTTTCGATGATGAAGAAGCTTAAGGTCTTTTAGCGTCTAGTAGCGCGTCTCCACCAATTTCGCAATGACTTACAAATTCTTAAATTTATCGCATATCAGAAGCAAAAGTTTCTTTCCTGTTGTTCACGAGATCCACTAGTTTCTTTCTTGTTGTTTTCCTGGTGAATCGGCAGGAAAGAAACTATTGGATCTCACGTTGAGACGACCCAAAACGGACAAAAAACAACTACACCTGTTGAGTCAGATCATGCCCAAAACTTCTTGAAGATGCTACTTCTTATTGTCAGATCATGCTAGGAGCCATTTTAGTAGAGTTGATAGTGCCTTTTGATTTGTTAAAAAGTCTAACCGTGTTGATAGTGCAACACGTCGTTTATAATCCAAAAGTATCCTGATCAATGAGACAACTCAGATTTTTCTCAGAATCATCAGAATATACTCGCTCATGATAAACTTCGGACTCAAAAAGTTATAACACACGCCAGATTCTTGAAATTTGATTTTGAAAAATGGATTCTCGAGACGCCTCGTCCGCATCTTCAGGAAGTGCTCATTTACGCGCTCGCGCTGCACTCCGAACCTTACGAGCCAACCGAGAGCAGAATGCCAGTACAAAAAATGGGAGTATGCCTATCACCAATATTACAGCTACAACAGGCGCAGCTGCTTCATCATCCAGTACTGGCAGCAGATCTGCAGTCGCTGGAGCTGGACCTGGAGACAACGGAAGATGTAATTCCAGTATGATCAGCACCATGCGTGGCGGCAAGAATGTAAGGCTGAATCCCTGCAACTCTACCTCAAACAGTAATATTGCGAATCACAAAACAAAAAGCTCCAGCACTTCTACTACTACTACTAGGCCTGCTGGTGCTCTCCCGGCAGGTGGAGCAGCTGTAGTCCTAGATAGTAATCCTTTACGAAAGTCATGTCGTAGGCTGGAAGAAGTGGCGTCACCAAGTACAACTAGAACCGAACAAGATCATAGAGATACCACAGGCTCTTCTTCTTCTTCTTCTTCCTCTATTCCACGAAGCAAAGAATTACTTGAAGCAATGAGGCGATTACTACGAACAACATCATCGTCTGCGGAAATTGATAGAGCAGAAAGTGAAGTAGATGGCGCAGGAGCCAACACAGCAATTCCAGTTGTAGCTTCTACTTCTGCATCATCTACCCATCATCTTCCAAGGCCAGAAGATTCATCTTCTTCAAGTTCAACATCAAGGAGAAACTACTACAGCACGAAGAAAAGCGCACCATTTGCAGTACCTATGGAAATTGAGGAGCAGGACATGATAGACAACTACGAAGAAGATGTGGCTTCTCTGGAGAGGAAACTTCTAGAGCGGGAGGCTGCTTTAAAGCAAGACGTAGCTGCTTTGGAAGAGAAGAAAAGGCAACAGCGCGTACAATCTCTCCGCGACGCAGCTTCAACGCATTTTCGATCATTGACGAAGAATTTTGAAGCCGACAAGAATATCCAATTGGATGAAGAACTTACCAGGGCACGCGAACTTCTGTACATGCCCGTGAGAGAGCAACTAGATACAGCGTTGAAGAAAGTGGACACCCAGATCACTTTGCTGGAGGAAAAACGGAAAAGACTGAGCGCTCAACGACACAAGCTGGAAGGTGATCATGAGCAAGTGGTTGCAGAATTGACGACGAAAGCAGAGAAAGCGAAGAAAGAACACAGAGAAGAAGTCGCGATGAGGGTTCTGGCGGAGCTGAAAATGCAAATGGGGAATCAGTTTGAGTTTCCCAGTCCGATGATGACGGAAGCCAAGGACAGTTCCACAATTGCATCTGCATCTTCAAATAGAGGTAAACTAGAACTACAACAGAGGAGTAGACGTATAGTGGATGACCCATCTGCCGAGCGAGATCTTGCTTTTTTTTTGGGATCAATCTTTCAAGGAGAAGGACCCGAGAATGATTATGATTTTTCCATGAGGTAGCACACGCATAATTACAGGAAGCAAAATTGTTAGTAATTACTAGGGAAGTTGCTCCTCTGGACCCCACGTGGCAAATATAGTGGGCTAGGAAGTTCCTCCTTACTGCAACAAGATTTCTTTTAGCTTCCTTGACTATTTTGAAAACGAGAAAGAGAGAAGAAAAACACTCAAGCAGCTTGAGAGGCTCAAAGAGTTGCAACGTCGAACGTGAACGAGAATAAGAGTGAGCGCTGTTCTTCGTCGCTGTTGCATTTTTTGAAGATGTGGAAGCCTTTACGCGTGTACAGTAAAGCGGGCCCATACCTGGCCCAGCCCGCCAGAGTAGCAAGCCAAGCCACGAACCCGAGAGGGCTCGCCGCTGCCGCTTCAGCCGCGAGCAAGATTCGGCCCCGTCTTGCATGCTTGGGACAACGCAGCCGCGCGAACCCGAGCCCGAGCCCGGCCTCGCGAGCGCGGCCCCTTGCGGGCCCGGCCCCGTGCCAGCCCAGCTCCGTGCGAGCCCGGCCTTGTGCGAGCCTGGGCCATATTGTGCCCCTCCTTGTGCGAGCCCAGCCGGCATCGCCGGCTCCCTGCGAGCCCGAGCCGGCCCCGTGTAGGCCCAGCCCCGTGGGGGCCCAGCCATGTGCGAGCCCAGCCCCGTACCAGTTGAGGTGGGCCCCGTGCGAGCCTGACCCCGCGCGAGCCTGGTCCCGCCGGCTCTGTGCGAGCCCAGCCGGCCCCGCGTGAGCCCAGCCCCGTCCCTTCGAGCCCAGCCCCGTGCGAGCTCAGCGGGCCCCTTGCGAGCCAAGTGGGTCCCGTGCGAGCGTGGTTCCATGCGAGTCCAGCCGGCCCCGTGCGAGCCGAGCGGGCACCGCGGGAGCCAAACGGGCTTCGTGCAAG